AGTACGAATGAAGGTAGTTGAGTGAAAATTTTGTGCGGAGAGAAAATCCATCTTTTATTGATACATATAAGCAGATGCGTCATTTGTAAAAGAAAGAGGCTACATGAGTACTTGGAAAATAACTAGCACTAACAACGAGTAGTTTCAGAAGCTTCATCTTTTGAATATCTTCTCTACGCATCCAGGCTCAATCGTCTCCAGTTCCCCTGCAATGGCATCCCACACAATCTTCTGTGATTTCTTGCCATCCAAGTTAGTTATCCAACTTGGTATTGCATTCCTTGGTCAAGGTGTCAGCGTATTAACAGAGTGTGGCAACGATTCAAACGTACTCGGCGATGGTACAAGATTCCAATAGGCACCCATGACTTTCTTCGCCCGCAACGGCGCCGTACAACAATGTTCGACTACCGTCCTCGGCGGTTCGCCCATATTGCTCTTTTTGCTTAGCTATTCTTTCACGAAGTCCGGGGGGGACGCTGCGGCTAAGATCGGTCTTACAAAGACCGGGGCACACTAGGTTTATGACAACTCCAGTTTGTTGAAGGGGAAGAAGACCGGTAAGATGGCGAATTGCCATTATCTCAAGGAGCTTAGACAGTGGATACCTGAGTGAATTTCGTTAGTCTGAATCACGCAACCTACAGACAACTTACGCCTTTGAAGTCATCTCTTCCATGTTCGACTTCACTATTGGATCATCCTTGATCTTCATCCAGTCCTCCCCAAAATCAAAACCGACTCTACTCGTTACGATAACCAGATGCGGTAAGGTTTCGAATCGCTCTCCAGATTCCTTCAATTTTGGAAGCAGCAAGACTCCCAATAGTATGGTGCTAATTACATTGACTGTAATTGTAAGCAGATGTCCCTCTTTCATGATTCTTTCTCCTGAAGCCACCCCAGCGTTCTCTATCACTGCATCGATTCTATCGAGTTTCTCGATTGCTCTTTTCGCAAAAGCTATGACAGAAGCGTATGAAGTTAGATCAAGCTCCCAAACTTGGGCTATACCAGAAATTCCGGTTGATGATTCGATGTCAGCCAAAGCGTGAAAGCCGGAAGACGGATCACGTACTGCCATAATCACGGTAGCAGAGCCCAGTCGAACAAGATGCCTAGCGGCTTCAAGCCCGAGACCGGTGTTGGCACCGGTAACAATGTAAGTACAGCCTCGACACGTCTCAGGAGTAGCGAGGAGCGGAAGATTGTGGGGTTGGGTCGCAACTGCAGCTGCCATGTTGTCTGGGGAATAGTTGTTGAATAGTGGTGAGTGATGAGCAAGTCTCAGCAAGATACTTATGCTTAGGTATGTGTGGTTTCTGATAGAGGCTGGTCGTGATGATTTGCATTCAACCACAACTAGAGGGTGAACACCATGTTATATAGATTTTTCTTATATCGTTTCTCGTTGTTGTTTCAACGCCCAAATTAATAGCGTGGATTCTGATGAGATCATTTCCATGACAGGTGACCGGTCTTTAGCAAAATCCGTGAAAATTAATCTCCAAAATCCGAGAGATGAAGCTCCTGCTGCACATTTTGATGTACATAAGAGCTCAGTCTGAGAAATGAGCATCCACGCATAGATGAGCCGCAGAAGCGGGTCAATGAGAGAGTAGTTTCCTTATCTGTACATTCCGAAGCGAGTTTGATTATCCACTGTTGTAATACGACCTATCAGAGACTACTTTCCCAGTTTGAACTAGCTCAATCCGAGGTCTGTAGCTGGAAAGTTGTGATTATATTACTTTGGAGGAAACAATTGTGAGGCCAAGTTGCGCTCGATGAAACAAATTTCATTGAGCATGTTTATACAATTTTTGAGATGATGGTGACAATGATCTATTTGCATCCCATGTCGTCCCGACTTTTACTTCATCGATGGAAATGCCATCTTCACGATCGAGGTCCAAAACTTTACCATGCTTTCTAGAACAATGATAACATGGATTGACATACGAAGGAAGGTACAAAATCCTCTACAATTTGAATGTATTGGGTTTGCTAGACGATTGAGAGATTTCAAAGAATTGGCAAGTAGACTATTACCTTCATTGATATCAGGAGCCAACTGTGGAATATAATCCAGACTAGCGTAACCAACTGAAAGTCAAAAAAAACTGTTTGCTCTAACAAACCGGATGAAAAGGTTAGAGAGTCTGCGTGCATTATAAGTTTTAGTTGTTGTGAATACCAAAATAGATCTCAAATGTCACGATGGAATAATGTGCTGTCAAGAGCGAGCACACAACCACAAAATACTTATTAGCATGCTTACTGCGAAAAGTTATGTGCCGAAAGGTTGCACGAGAAATAAATCTAGGAAGTCGCAAAAGAAATCACCAAGATACCAACTTGAACGGAAAGTAGGAACCAACCAAGTTAACTCTCGTAGTTCAAAAGGTGTCACGGAAGCAAGTCTTTACACAAAAGCGCTGTCAAAAGAAGATGTAGTGAAAAGAGCAAAGTAAATTTGGTTGCATCAAGACGAAAGATAACTTATTAAGTTCCTAGTCAGGAAATTTGATCTCGATTGCCTATTTCCAGTTGATCAGTGGACCCTCGAAGTCTCATGATAACTGGTGTAGAGCTTGCTTGAGTCCCAACTACCATACATCTCATAGCCTTTACATTGCTTCGTAGCTCTTCTTCCTAGATAGTTGGCCACAATACTAGCCCAGAGAAATATGAGCATTTTTGACGGCAAATCCACCTTCATGATAAGAAGATACAGACTTGCGAAGAACATATCTGTCTTGGACTGATGTCATTGCCAAATCGTCAATTTTGCAAGTGATGATCGGTAATCTATATTGATACTCTGTATAGTAAGATCTCTGATGTTTAATCAGGTACGCACGAAGAGTACTTGGAATGGTCAATTGCCATATTCAAACTTGTTATCGGACAACAAGTCTCGTAGGAGCACACCGTATGTTTCCTCTCATCAGAAACGACGTCTATATTGCAATTGAAGTGAATACAAATCAAAGTAGCTTGTCCTAGGATTGACGGATGAAACGGGTACAAAGTGTATCCCGTATGGAGGGCTAAAGTTTAGCACTTTTGCATACTATTTGGATCGGTCTGAATTTCAATGGAAGCAGGCGTTGAGATCTGGATCTAGAGAAAGCGGAAAGTATTTGGGGCTCTCGCAATACCCATCATAACTTATGGCTAATACATGCTGAGCCAAATGGTACGATAGGGGCTAACGACAGGTACCATGCGAGAATTTATTCACATCTTTCAAACAATTGTAATCAACTAAACTGGCTGAATAGGCAGGGAACTACCTCGGGCTTCACGTGAAAGTCGCATATATAGATGAGTTCATGATTCTTTTCGCAGCTTCTTTTCGCATACAGCGTATGTAAATCTAAATAATTATGTCAAGCATGCTGTCTAAAGACTTACCGACGGCTCGTAGGACAAGAATAATGCTAACCATGATTCATTCTTACTATTCTGATCATTTGAGTCCGAATCTCACCCTCTGACTGTCACGGATACCTTCGCATATCACTGAACCAATCAATTTGACCTAGAACGTCACCCAACTATGCTCTAGACGCCAGTTTAGCCCTTTAAAGTTTGACCACTCGAAAAACCATTGCGATGCTCTTCATTACAGAGCCAATTGCCGTTGTGGGCAATCATCCGTGTAAAGCATGAGGTCTAAATAGCTCTCAAACTAATGTGTCCTCTAGAGTACGAAGAGGCGCAATGAGCGCTCAAGAATTCCTTGGCTCCTCAAATCCTCGTTACTTTTCGTTTTTCGCGATGCCAGAAGTAAGAGATCGTGTTCGAGGTCAACTACTAACCTTCGCGTTGGGAAAAGATATGTGCCTTGCCAACATGCAACAGGTGATTATGTTTTCTGGCTAGTTGGTACTCTGTAATTCAGAATATCGTGATGTTGATCTCCATAATTATCACCATAAACGTTCATCTCTTTTCGTCGGGATGCATAGAATCGATGCCTTACTGCTGGTGTCATGCCCGAATTCTTCCAGCAGAACTTTTATGCAAGACAAAGCTATGCGAGTTGTATGAGACGTTTCGAGCCTTCGGATTATACACTGCTCGAGGCTTTAGCTCGTATGGATACAATTCTTCGGTGTCCAATCTTTCTCAATCCGTAGGATATCTCGGATCGTACATCTCATACCCGTATTGTTCATCGTCGGTATCGCTTTCTAAATCATCTTCCTTGACTCCAAGGCCTCTGCCTACTTGAACCTTTTCTTCAATTTCATCATTCACGGGTACGTCAGCTCCGCCCCCGTCAACAGGAGCAAAAGCACTTTTGAACCCCGATTTCTTGAAACCCCCTTTCTTGAAACCCCCTTTCTTGAAACCTCCAGCAGTAGCTCCAGTATTTGAGCTTGCTTCTCCACCCAGCTTTATTGAGATCAACCCAGACTGCGAGTTGGCTTTCGCTTCTGCCTTTCGAGCTTTGCTAGAGGCCATTGGATCGCGTGTTAATTGTCGCATGTCCTTAAGACGTTGTTTATGAGAGTGGTCGTATGAAGAGAGATGAGCCTCATATTCGTTCATTCGAGCGTACCCTTTGCTGCATAATTCGCCTGTGTATGTAAGAGAATGTATGGAAGGTGGATGGGGCCATGATAACCTACAATAGAAAGATTTAACAGCCTCGCGAGCACTTTCAGTTTTGGGGGCCGGATTTGTGAAACCACGCTTGAAGATGACATTAGTGCTTTATTCAGGTAATCAATTCCACGTGAGATAACTTACTGGAGGCATCTCTTGTGACGATCGTGACGATATTTGTTGTGTTGTGTTATGTTGTGTTGTGTTGTATTGGAAACTCTTTTTCTCTCTTGCACCCAATGTTCGTCAGACACACGTCCTATGGGGTACTCGCTGCTTGTACGTGCGTGATGCCTGACCACGTGATTTGCTAGGAAAATTAAGGTGCGATCCAAGCTTTGTAACCTTAAATCTATCCGATCCATACATCTTCAACACATTTCACACTGACTGTCTAGTTCTTACCTAGTTACCAACTAATAAGTGTCCCGAAACTCTTTTTATAATTCTTGTCATCATTTTAATGCCTTTTTGATAAATTTCATTTTGCTGATACTGAGATCTCATATACACTTGCGTATATTGTAAAATATGGAACAACGGCGAGATTCTATCGCTTCAGACGATACTTTTGTTGATCTTCAACAATTAGATCCTTCACCTATAGATTCCCCACTTGACTGGGATGAAAAACTACCCGAATTGCCTTCATACACCTCGTTTGGAAGATCCTCGACATTAGGACTTAGTGGTTCCGGTCATGGAGCTGTATATTATCGTGAGTGCTATTTGTTGTAAATTTATATCATGGGTATGGACTAACGAAAAAATGTGATATAGTCACACGTATACAACGTTACTCGTCGTATGCCTTTTCAGTCTTCAGTGCTTTGCATATCACGAATACCTCCATAATACCCCTCATTACCCGCTCGGTGCCTGCTTCTGAAAAGTACCTATTACTGACTCGCCCATATTATCGTAAGTGCCCCTTTGGCTAAGCCTGTATCCCTCATCCTATGCTTCACGTGGCCCCACTAACCCTGCAACAGAATCATTCCCTCTCGAACCATTACTCGTTGGTCTCCCTCTCGCTGCTCACATAACTTCTGGTTTCGCGTTACGTCTCTATCGCCGCCGTGTAGCTGAAAAACGTTACTCCTCCCATCAACCGTCCAGTTCTCTTTCATACTTTTCCTTCTTATCACCGAAGTTCTGGCCTTCAATCTCGTTCACCTCTATTTCAGGCTATGTTCTCGCTCCTCTTGTAGCTTCTCATATGTTCGTTAACCGAGTCATTCCTTTGATACATGAAGGAGGATCATCTGGCGTTGGGTTGGGATACGTTGCGCATGGCTTTGCTAAACATCCAGTGATTTCTTGGACGACGTATATAGCTTTGGTGGGATTTGGGGCGGGACATATGGTTTGGGGCACAGCAAAGTGGTTAGGGTTACTACCTAGAGGAACCGAGAGGGAAAGAAGAAGGAGGTGGTGGAGCCTCAATGGTATTGTTGGTCTTGTGAGCCTTATCTGGTATGCTGGTGGATTGGGAGTCATTGCACGAGGTGGTGCGGAAACCAGTTGGGTCGGTTCTGGATACGACGCTCTTTATCAAAAAATCCCACTACTGGGATAGAACCGGTGCAAAATACAGTCCGGTTTCTCGTAATACTCGGGATCTTTTAGCGGCACAGCGAGGTGTTTGGTTTTAGACTCTGGATTAATATTGCAGGAACAGCAGATGAATGTGGCCCTGATGGATAGACGATTTCATGTCATGTATATGCTAACATACCGCTCCGTATAAGACGATCATGATGGGATGAATTCGAGTGGGTAGAATGGAGTCATTTAAACGGTGGCAAAACCTTCACCGCGGTCCACGTTTCCTTCCAGCTTTTTCAACGTTTGTACAAACACATGTTTTCATTGACGCGCCCTCTCTCCAGTCGGGTTAATGTAATCTTACAGTTGTGATTACACCAATCCGAATATAAATCAAATGATTATAACATCTGTAGAACACATCTCTGTTGTAATTTTGGTCATGACAAGAGACTATGCAGCTTAGCAAACGCCTCGGCCTCTATTTTACTGTTACGTCGTCCCTAAAATCCACGCATGTTAACAAGAAGATAGCTTCGTTGGAAACTGTTGGGGTGTTAAGCGGATGTCGATCAAGAAGGGCTACAATAATGTAACAATTGGAGTCCAGCTAATGACGGAAACACCACAGAAGCACGCGACACATTGCAGGACTTGTTGAGAATATTGTAATTAGGACTTGATTTTATTATCTAGACATGACATGCTGAACTCCCACAACTATATACAACATAGCAGCAAGTTCCTCCACGTCGTTGAAAAGGTGCAAAGCTACAACATATAAGAAGACGCCCTTACGCCACTTGATGTTTGAAACATTCATCCAGCCATGTTCCTATCCATCCCTTTTTTGCTATTCCCAATAAACTCCACCCATAAGCGAAGCATGAAACGTATGTATTCACGCCATGCTGCACCCATCAAAAGCGAACGCCAATCAACTCGCCAAGTACTATTGCTTTAGTCCATGATTTAAGCATACCATCCCTTAGCGCCAATATTGCTATTGTCTTGTTCTTCTCTGTGATCGATCATGGGTTCTTTGATATCGAAGAGGTTGATCATTTCTTGCCAATCTTGCATATCGAGGGATAGGACTGCTTGATGTCTTGCTGTATGGGAAGAATTTCCATTTTCTTTTGGATCCCTGACGCCTAAGTACTCTATCAGCTATCATTGTCTTCTTGAGAGGCATGAGAAAACAAACCTATGTATGGGAGACCATCCGAGTCTATTTCAACTTCTACTTTACCGTCTCGAACCAAGAAGCTCACATAAAACATGTTCTCAATCGTTTGGCCGAAGGAAAATGGATTGATGACAAATTTGAAATATGCAATGCTACAATTCTCCGATACACCATACTTTTCCCTCAGCGCAACACCATCTTCTTCAGACATGTCTTCTGTAGCCTCCAGCTCAACAGCATTGAAGGCCTTGGCCTGAACTTCCTTCAATCTGTCTTGAATTTTTGTGCATAAATAAGTCAGATTTGCATTCTCTGATTTCTCTATATCATCTGCTCTCAAAACCTCGGGTTGTATTTCGTGAAGATTGTTCAGTCTGAGAGGAGCTCTTCGAACAATAGCCCTGCGGGCGCGCTTTTGTAAAGACAGGGGGCCAAGGAGAAAACCGGGCACTGATGGGCGAGCATTGTTCGGTAAACATGCATTGCGCCCGAGATGTTGCCAGTTGAGCATTTCTCCATCATTGTCGTTATCGCTGTCATCTTCAACTATGGCACCATTCCGGTGACTCCGCTGAGTACTACGTGGTGCATGGTCCTGCGAACGTTCGCCCCTTCCCATGTATAACTTGATCTTAGAAACAAAGTCATCCACGTCAACTCCTTGTGCGGTGTCACCAGATGTCATTCGCAGCGTCTTCTTCTTGGCGAGATCTGCAGTACTAACAAGCAATCGTGAATCGATTGTTGCATCCGAGGTTTGTTTGACTTTCTCTGATAGCTTATTTGCTTTAAGCAATGTATCCTTGATGCCCGTTGATTCTGCATTAAGATACTCGGCACGATTATCTTGCAGAGTTCTTGAAAGACCCCTCAAGTCGGACCGAAGCTTTCTTCTCTCTTCGACACTTTGATCTGGATCATACTCCTGTTCCCCCTCGTCGTCATCTTCAACCGCTTCGATTGTGCGCCTTCTTTGGTTGCGTTGCATTGAATGGTCTCCCTCGCCGGTGGTCCCAGTGCGCTTTCTCTTACTGATGGGTGATGGTGCTCTTGGTGGACCCATGGAAACACTTACGGCGCGACCTTTCCCCTTGTCGATTGCATTTCTTGAAGAGTGGTTCTCTTTATCGGATGAAATAGAAGCGGCTGGAGAAGGAGATAAAGCAGTGTTATCGGAAGTCCTTCGTGGATACATTGGCCCAGGAGATGCTTCGTACAAATCGTCAGCAAAACGAGGGGCAGGAGATTCCGAGATCTTAATTCTAGACATGGTGAACTATTGTGAAAGTTTGGCGCGGTCCAAATTTTCGTTGAGATTTTATGATAAATTGGACGCGAACATTCAAGACGTAGCTGCGATAAGTGAATAACCTCGCGCGTCGCGTTTGATACGTCGTGTTCTCGACTGAAAGTTCCTGATAAGATAAAGAATTAAGCTTATCGGATGATAGAATTTTGATCGTTAAAATTGAGAGTAATTTGTCACTGTGTTATTTCCATTATGAATATCATGCTGTAGGTTCCAAATAAGATGTTCGTAGTCGGAAAGAGAGAGAAGTGAAGAGAAGGATAGTGAATGGTGATATGGATTGAATGGGAAGGAGGAGAAGGAAGGTTTGAGGGAGAGGTAGAAGTAGAAGTGGGTGTGGGTGTGGGAGATGTGGTGTATCTGTACCGGTATACCTAGTGGCCCTCAATCAAGAAAGAGCAAGTCGCGTCAAGGGAATCTTTCAATCTATCATGTGACATTACTTCAGTCGTTGTTCAAGTTCCTCAATCCTAATGATAGAGAGGGAGAAAGGGCGAAGCGAAAGGGCGAGAGAATGAGAGGGCGAGAAAGATCAATCTTGGCGGGGCGATGCTAGCGTGACGTGTGAGCGGAATTATAATGTTCCGATAGCACCATGTGGGGAAGCGCAGTGCACAGACATCGTAGGCACGTGGTAGTATGGCTCAATGGCTCAATGGCACATTTACTTGTGATATCGATGTTACCTCCCGTCATCTCAACTCATCTCATACATAACAATAATAGTAATTCATACCAATAATTCATTGTGTTTCTTTCACGGGATCTACGGCTCCTACGATCTCTGTACTACAGGTTCACGTACCACGAGCTTATTAATTAAGCAATTAACATTACAAACTCATTCTTGCTTCCCTTCCAACTTATTAACTCCTTCTACCAAATATCCGTGGAACATGGATCATGGAACCCTTCTCCTTTGCAAGTTCAGAAGCTCTTGATATTCCAGTAAATATTAGAATGTAAGTCGAATGTTAACATGACATCTTAGCATGCTCGTTTGCAAACCTGCACACCCACTAAACATTATATACATAGCGTCAACCTTGAAGGGGAGCAGACCCCAATTCCATTTTCTACACTCATAAATCGACCAGACTTGAGACATATTGGCTCCAATTTGAGGTAAACTGCCTGTGCATACGTTTCTATATTGCATTTCGAACAAGAGCATACTGACACCATTATTCTGTTGCAGCCCTCACTCGGATCTTTATGTCACTGTACAGTTATGGGCTGATTCGAAACCATTAACTGTACCCGTCCAAACAGCCTATAAATCATTCAAACATGAGAGAAAGTGAGTGTCGAAGTCTGCTGAAAGACTCGAACGTTGCTGACCGTAGGGAAGATGGAATGAATGGCTCACCTTGCCCATACATTGTTCAACGATACCTTTGAGTTCTCAACTTGCGATCACAGTATGGGATTTGTCTCCAACGGGAGGTGATGGGGCTCAAGGGCATGCTGTACCATTTGGTGGGACTACTTTACGGTTGTTTGATAAAGATAACCAGCTGCAAAAAGGTCGTCAAAAATGTCATTTACATCGTCGCAAGGCTGCAGATGGTCTGGATTCCTCCTCAACGCCCGCAGTCCTACCTAATGTGCGTCGTGCCGGATCTAAGTCTAAGGAAGAAGCTGAAATAATAGACAAAGAGGGTGAAGAACTAGACAGGCTGGAGAAATTATTCAAAAAACATGAAATGGGCGAAATTGCACGTATCGAATGGCTGGATCAATTGGTTTTCAGAGGAGTAGAAAAGCGAGGTCTTCAGGCGTCCAGTGCCACTCTCAAGAACATACAGCGCAGAAGAACTCGACAAAAAAGTGTGATCTTGACTCTGGATGGGGCAGAAGAAAAGAATAACGATACCGAACATGATTTATTGGACGACCATCCTTCCAAGGATGAAAGATTCACTCTTCATGTGGAGCTACCCAGATTCGACTTCCCGGTTGTATTTGCCGACCACGAGTACCCACCGCCACCTATATCTTCGCTACAGAATCTTTCTTCTTCTCAATCAAACATCATCCTTAAACCTCCCCCGCAAGTTCAATTCGGGCCAGGTATCAATGGTTTCGGGGACAATGATGAGCATGGCTTTGGTGGACGCCTTGTAAGAGTCTACGACCCTGAAGTTGGGGCCAGGGATAACCCCGCGGAGAGTAAACATCGTCGCCTGGTTCGAAGTCACAGAACTGGAGTGCTAGATCGTGACCTTAAACCGAATGCCAAAGTCCGAGATGAATTAAACAACATTATCGCATATTCGCCAACACACTTTCTATCACCAGAGGAAAAAGACCTTGTCTGGAAATTCAGGCATCATCTTGCGCGGGACAAAAGGGCACTCACAAAGTTCATCAAATCTGTAAATTGGAATGACCCAAACGAAGCCCGTGAAGCAGTGGCCATGTTGAGCAAATGGACCGAGATTGATGTTGATGACGCTTTAGAGTTATTGGGGCCAACATTCGAAAATTCTTCCGTGAGAGCTTACGCTGTGGATAGATTACGAAAATCCGATGATGACGAGCTCTTGCTCTATCTGTTGCAACTTGTACAAGCCCTCAAATTCGAGCATATTTCACCCGATTCGGCTGAAGATGCGACACAGGATTCTTCCCTTGCACGACTACTTATTTCAAGGGCAACAAATAATTTCCAACTCGGAAATCTCTTTCACTGGTATCTTATGGTAGAATGCGATGACAAAAGCGAAGATCAAGGAGCTGGCTATCGTAAACTATTTGCCAAAGTTGAATACGATTTCATGACCGAATTGGTGAAGGCGCCCGAAGGAGTTGAGACTCGAAAGGTTCTACTGCGCCAGGCAGAGCTTGTCACAATGTTGTCTAGGGTTTCTGAAGATATAAAGTCTTCACGGGATACAGTATCTCGCAAGGCCGAGAAGGTAAAGCAGTTTCTTGCCGATCCTAAGAATGAACTCATCACTATAGACCCACCCCTACCTCTACCGCTTGACCCTTCGATTATGATCACCGGCGTGGATCCTTCGGAAACAAATGTTTTCAAGTCATCGTTGTTTCCAATCATGATAACTTTTAAGACGACAACCAAACAAAAATATCAAATCATCTTCAAGACAGGAGACGATTTGCGCCAGGATCAACTAGTCATTCAGATCATTACACTCATGGACCAGCTACTACAAAAAGAGAACCTAGACCTGAAGTTGTCACCTTACAAAATCCTTGCGACCGGAGCAACTGCAGGAGCTGTCCAGTTCGTTCCGTCTATGACCCTGCAGAGCATTGTCAACAAGTTTAAGGGCAACACTGTACTTAATTATCTCAAATCCAATAATCCTGATGACAAGGCCTCTCTTGGTGTTCGCAAAGAAGCCTTGGATGTGTTTATAAAATCGTGTGCAGGATACTGTGTGATTACATATCTTCTTGGTGTGGGCGATCGTCATCTAGACAATCTTCTTCTGGCACCAGATGGTCATTTTTTCCACGCTGATTTTGGCTTTATACTTGGTAGAGACCCCAAGCCATTTGCTCCCGCGATGAAACTCTGTAAGGAAATGGTAGACGGGATGGGAGGATCTATGTCGGAACATTATCCGCAATTCAAACAGTACTGCTTCACGGCTTACACAACATTACGTAAATCCTCAAATTTGATTCTCAATCTCTTCAGTCTGATGGTTGATGCCAATATTCCGGATATCAAAATTGAGCCAGACAAGGTTGTATTGAAAGTTAAAGAACGATTTCATTTAGAATTGAGCGAAGAGGATGCAATCAGGCATTTTGAAAGGTTAATTGAGGATAGTGCGAATGCGATCTTCCCAGTCGTCATTGACAGGTTGCATGGTTTTGTGCAGCATTTCAGGTAGAAAGTGATGTCAGTCATCAAGGTCGAGCAGGAGTTTGGCGTCCATGAAGTATCGAATTTAGACCACGATTTAGATTTAAATATACTCGTCTGTAGTCTGCTAGCAATCTTCAGCAACGCTTTACATAATAAATGTACAAAATTCACGGATGACAGTTCTGGTAAAACTGCCCCTGCGTGCTTTGAAGGTAGAGTATCTTGTATTATGGGTGGATGATGATCAGAAGTTGTGAAGTGGCACTCGCCTACTAGATGCGTCACTATTTCCTTCAGTGAAGAACTTAGTCTCATAACATACCAATAGAGCGCTTTATTTATGACATGTATTAGTTTATACATTGGTCACTGTTCTTGTAAGTACTCATGCTTTTCCGACATCGAGGTTGAAGTACTAAAACTCAAAAAGCAAAATGGTTCATTTTATCGTTGGCCAACATAATAATTTTGAACCATCTTACGACGAACCTCACTGAAACATTCCACTTAGTCTACGAAAGTTCAACTTGGCTCGGGTCTTCAACCGTCTTATCTACTCACATTTTCATAAATCTCTCTATATAAGGTGACCTCTTCGATCCATTGATTGTAGAGTGGGTACATCCTCGAAAAGGGCAAGGAGTTTCATGGGAATATCACACTCACACTCGTCTTTTTCTATTCTGAGACTATATATTGATCCTTGATAATGGCCAATTTTGTTCGTTAACAAGTTTATTTAACCCGAGAACACTCAAGTTCAATACATAGGAGAATGGAAAGCTCATTCAAAACAAATAGATCAGATGAAACCCGTTTACATGGTAAACGAGCTAAGTTCAAGGTACGTTTTATACGCTCGGCCCATATTCCTGTGGTATCTTACCCCAGTCATCAAACCTATCAAGTTCCCTGGGCATAACGCCAGACTAAGAATTCTATTGCACATATTTCGAATTTCACAGGGTTGATATAGCTCATCCTTTGATCTAACAATAAAGCGTTTAGATGCGCGACTTTTCTCGATTCAAGACTCTGTCCTAGACTTTGGACTTTGGACTAGTATTGAAAAAGTGTGGATTTTAGATTTGCTTATCCTAAAATTATATTGAGCTTAATATGGACGTGCGGATTTGACTGGCTGGGCTGGGATTTGATATGAACGACAATATCTAGGATCCGAATTTATACTTGTACCAAGGGTCTGACTGAAATGACAACGGTGGATGTAGGGTAGAGGGTAGCTAGTTCCCGTCACGGCTGACACAAAACTGATTTTTGATAGGTTAAGTGTGCCCTACTCTTATTTCGGAAAGGGCAGGTAGCTAACTACACAATAGCTTTGTAGCTATGTAGCGCTTGCTTTTTCTCCGTCTTTTCTCTTCAAATATATTGGTAGCATTTGACTTTTTGCATAAGCTCAAGAGGAAGACATAGAAAACCATACGCTTTTCTCGCTATACGGGAAGAGCACTAACTCGTACAAAAATCGGCTGAAACGGAGAGATCGATCAATATCGAAGAATTCGAGTACCAATTCTCGAAATGTCTTGCTATTGCGCAAACTACTATGTGAGTGCTGGCATCCCAATCCTGCCAACCCTCCTCTCTCCTTGTACATGAACCACATATGAATACATCACATGCTCATATAACAGCCAGGGCTCCCTCAATTGCCAGAATATGGTTCTAAAATTTGGTGATCAGTGCAGTTCATGTCTTGTGAGCACGAGTCCCTTTTCATTCTTCAAGAGTTCCCACATGGAGGACTAACCCTGACCCAAGGCTCAATCTCCAAGTCATGATGAAAAGCTTGAATGGGGTGATGCACTTCTAGGTCAGCAGTGGTTGGAGAATTCGAGTAAGGAACAGATGAGAAGAGATGAGGATAAGCCTAGGAGAGGAAGAGTTGGGAGGGCTGTAAAATGAAGGTGCTAGATAAGACAAAGGGTGTGAAAGAGGGAAAAAAGTTGTAATGGTACGATTGTGTTGGATCTGTGGATTATCGGGTATAGTTGTGGTCATCAAAGGGTACTAGGTATATAGAAGCTATATGGGTGGACGGGTGGATGGGTGGATGGCAAAACTAGGTGTTGTCTTTGGGTGAGAAGTGCTCTTGGGGCTGGACTCAATTTCGCAGAAGGGATAACATTAATGATCTTTGCTTTCTTGGAGGTCAATGGATCATCTACAGGTTCCATTTCACATATTCCAAAAACTTAGGTGGGCAAAAGATTCAGTAATTAAGAAAGAAAACAAACAAAAACCAGCGAATGAATTATGGTTGAGCCGGTGTTCAATCGGTAATGTAATTGAACATAATATGAGAGTGTTTTAACAATCTCAGAAGGAAATCTTTCCTGGGTATAATATCTTCGAGATCCAAACACATAAACCGAACTCCCGGGGAGGATCTTCACCAATGTTACAGACTATCTTGCTTAGAAGGGGAGGGTTTATCTGATGGATCCACATCCATTCTTTCTCCCTCTTCCACTGCTTCCTCTCCAAATTCCTCCCCTGGACTGTCCGCGCTCTCTGACTCCGCGCCATTCTTCATCACCTCAATATCGCCCTCACTCTCATCTAGTAGATCCTCGATATCTCCAAGTGGACTGATCCTCGGCTCCAGCACCTCTAAGTCTTCTAGTATTTCCCTCTTCGGCATCTTCCACAAGGTCGTCCCACACACCCTATCCTTCGTCAACAAATCATCCACGAACTGATCCATGAATGTCAACGTTGTGCCTGTCCTTGTCTTCCTTCTTAGCTTTCTCCTATCTTCCAAATAACCTTCTAACATAGTGTACACATCTTTTGCCTGTCTCGTCATCCTCCAATAAAACAATGCTAAAGCCCTCAGATACTTGAATTTCTCTCCACCGTACCCCATATATTCTTTTAATATGTCGTCGCTGGGGCCTAATTGTAGTAACTTAAAAGCAAGACATAGAAATGGCGAAGGTCTTTGCGAATCTCCATATGTGCCAGCGATGAATGTTACGTGAGCAACAACACGCGAAACGATATCAGCTTCATTGAGAGCAAAACATTGGTCTTTCCAGAAATAACAATCGACAATGCGTTCGCGCACAGGTTTCTCGAGGATGGTAGCAGGATTAAGACCGTTGGGGGCAAGAGGACCAGTGTTGCCGCGTTCGTCAAGGAAGCGCTTTTCATCGGCGCGGTGGGTAGCCATTTCTAATGGACAGAAGTCTTGATGCGATTCGAATTATATTTTGGGAGCTAGGAAGAGGCAGTGAAGCTTCAAGATTTGCATCAGAGTAAGCGAGCTGAATATTAATTCACCTGGTCGTGTGTCTCCAAGTAACGTTGTTTAACGACGGGCTCGAGAAAAGGTAGACGATGACGGTGATGGAGGTAGTTTTTATCGCAATGACTGATAATTGATAGTTGATAGTTGCCATGTCAACCAGTCACTAATATTTTCGATCTTGCGCGAAACGAAACGAACCCAAACGCATCATCGTGCGTAAGGATCAATCATGTGTCTGATGCTTATATAGGTAGGTATAAAACTATATAAATATGGCACATACGAGTAATTGTATATGATTTACGGATTTATATCAACTCCTTCACTACATTCCACGACACTACAATACACCACACCACACCACCTCAATCAATCATATTGATTATACGCTGCGTTTGGAATTTCTATAAGAAACCCCGACTTGTCAGCTCAATTTTGAAATACCAAACCCAAATTCACGTCGCAAAAACATGCTCCTGACATCCGGGCAAGTTTCAGTCGCTATTTCTTCCTTTATCGGTATGTGCGAGTAATTGCCTCTTCTCCGCGTTGCTACAAATAGCATTGTGCATCCACTATCAAGCAATGAGGACTTGTTTCCTTTTGATAATGGTAGTTCAAAGCTAATGAGTAACTGTCAGTATTTTTCTTTACCACCGCGCTCTTCCTCTCCGGTTATGTTCTCCAACAGCAAACAGTACGTGATTTAAGAGAAGCTATCAAACCCCAGTTTCAAGCAAAGCTGGTGGGGTTAGAGGTTCCAGACAATCTAAATATCAATGCGGATAGGAGCGGAAGGAAAGGTCAGGTGGAGGTATTTTTGCCCAAAAAGTTCGAGAATGAAGCGGTACGAAAAGGAAATATAAGGGCGGAAATCAAAAGAGATGTAGAGGAAGAGATTGATGAAGTCGCTGGAAAAAATGGGAAAAATAAAAAGACGCGGGGGGAGGGGAATGAAGAGTGGAGTGGGGCTGGGCTTGAGGAGAGTGTCACAGAGGTACGGAAGGACTACGGGAGTATCGAAGGTGAGGGTGATGGTGCTGGATCTGCGGATAATACAGAAGGTATTAAGAAAGGGGGAAGAGAAGAAATTGCAGTTCCAGAAAAACCGCTAAGTCGTGCAGAAAGGAGGAGGAGAATCAAGGAAGAGCTCGTAACATCAGGAGAAGGGGAAACTTTTAATGGGTATCGAAGACGTGTTCCGGGCGCTTGACTTTGAATTGCATTCTGGGCGCATAAGTACAAGGGAATGGGAAATGTCGAGATGGGATGTATCATACAGATCTGGAGTTTGGGAGGGTTGAATTGGACTAATTCAAGGCGGATACCATGTGAGCAGAAAAGACATATATCTTCATTGTATTCATTGTACTAAAGTAAAAGATATAAGAATAGATTAATTACCTATAATGAAGCTTGATCGGCTTTTAGTTGTAAATTAATAATGTTTTCAATTATATCTATAAAAGAATTTCTAAATATAAATGAAACTATAGCTTAAAGGGCTCTTCTTTCTTTAAAATCTAGCTCTCTTTATTAGATATTCCTTTTTATAGACTCATAGTATATAAAAGAAGAGTTAGTTCTAAATCCTCTGACTTTTTAATAAGATTATTTATTAATTAAAGATTGATAAATCTACTTTCTTTAAATCGCTTATTATAACGGAAACAGTATTATAGTCTACATGAATCAGATTATATAATAATCAAAAATACAATACATGGAATATTCTCAAATAAAATAATAATAATCAAATCAAACTCTAATTCGATTACTATTTTTATAATTAATATTTAATAATTATTCAATATATAATCCTATCTCTTTTTATAAGAAAAATCAGTTTCAATTAAAAATATAATTCAATATATACATATTTTTAATTTATATTATTATTATTCGATCATTTCTATTTTATTATAATATGTTATTGTTTTATATAATAATTATAAGCTCCATTTATATTTAAACACTATTATCCTATTATAAACTATTTTTATAATTAAAAATAGACATATTACAAATTATATTTAAAATCTAAATTTTTATTATTTGAATATCTAAATCAATTATATTAATATAATATATATATTGATTAATAAATTTTATTATCTAATTGGATTAATTAAATTAATATAATACTTTAAGAATTGAATATTAATTAAAAAATATTTGCAATAAGATTGATTCTAAACCTTTATTAAAAACAAATCTCTTATTCTTTATTTGTTTAAAATTATTATTCGAAATAATTAATTAGCTAATTGCAATTTCTTTTATTTCTTTAATTCTTAAAAATATTTGATGAAAATAGAATAGAATCGAGTAATATACTTATAAAATAAAGCTTTTTGAATATTATATTAAATATTCAAAATGAAAAAGTGAAAATAAGAATATAGAAATAAAGGAATCAATTGATTATTTAGTTATTTCTTTATTATTAATCAAATTCATATTTATATTCAAATTTAATATAATTATTTTATTTATTAGTTATAATACATTATATAATAATAAGAAAATAATATATAATAATAAATATAAATCCTATTAATAAATTTATAAATAAATTTAATTAATTATTGATTTAATTTATTTTATAGAATTATTCTTTTTAAATAAGGAATTAGAGACTTAGATATTTTATAAAATAATCTTTTTATTTTATGATAAATTAGTATTATTTAATCAAATTATTAAAATAACAATTCAGTTTGAATGTTATATATTGATTATTTAAGTATTAAATAGATAAATTGATTTAATTAAATAATATCAGAATTGAGGTATTACTTATTCAAAAATATTTATATATAAACTTTTAGATATTTATAAATTATCAGTTATTCATATTCTCCTTAATATTATTAGGATTAGAATAGTGCTTTCTTAAATTCAATTCAAGATTGATAAAATTAATAAAAAGATTTATCTAAATTAAGAATATTATTAATTATAATACTATGTTATTTAGAATAAAAGAAATTTATATTATTAAATAGCTCAAATTGCTTATTTTAATTAAAAAAAACTTTTTATAATCAATTTAAGATTTTCTATTCTAATAAGAGTATTGAGAAAATAAAATAAAAGATATAAATTTTATAAATAAAATTCTAAAAAATTATAATAAAATAAAAGTTATTTTGATTAAAAAATATATTAATTATCTAAATATGATTTTTATAGTAAATTAGATTAAAAAGATTAAATAGAAAATTATAAATAAATGAAAGTATTTTTATAATATTTTCATTAATAAAAAATAAATGAAAGCATTATTTCATAATACTATTTCTTTTGTTATTAGAATATTAAATAAATTTACAAGTATTATAATACTAAAAGTATTTATAATCAATTCAATTTTAAAATCAGAATTTGAATTTTATAGTTCTTTTTTTTTAATAATCATAAAATATTATATATTATTAATAATATATCTTTATTAAATAAACAAGCATATTATTAATTCTTTAAAAATGATTAAATAAACTTAGAATTAATTTTTATTAAATAATTAGAAAAGATTAGAAAATAATAAAAGGCACTCTGAATAATAAGAATCTGATTTTTATAAATATTATCTTGATTTCTAATTTCTATATAAATATTATTTTTAAAGTATAATTATTCAAACTAGATTAATAATTTAATGATTTTAATATTATTTATATTTTAAAAATATAATAGAGAATAAAATACATATTTAATATATTAAATATAACAATCTTATATTTTTAGAATTAAAATCTTATTCCTTTTATTTTCCTATCTCAATCTTTGATTATAATTTTATATATTCTATTACTTCTTATAAGATTAATAAATCCTTTAAATAATCAAGAAATACTCTAATTTCAAAAGGCAATTGAATAGAGTTATAATATAAGAAAATAGAATATTTGAAGAGAGAAATATTTGAATACTTAATGTTTATTATAAAAGAAATAAAAATCAAAAATTCTTTTAAAAAAAATATTCTAATTATATATAT